TCAAGTCCTTTCTCACCTCAGGAGTATAAATGCATTTCAATCCAGCACTTTCATGATGTTTTGCATTTAAATTTACATATGTTTGGAATTCATTTTGGTTTATGGTACATGAGAAGGATTCAGATTCTACCTCCCTCAAACGGTTAGCCACTTGGTTGTCCCAACAATACTGATTCCCTAGAGACTTGCGATGCTGGTGTTAGTAATTTTTCTTGGATCTGTTTCTCAACAGTGTCTCCCACTGATCTGTACATCTATTTTCAGTCCCACATTGTTTGTTCATTTGATATATATTTATCAAGTGTCTACTACATGCCAGGTATTTTACCTGGGGATAGATTGCTAAGTACAACACTTTGTAAAATAAAGTTCTAGTCTTGATGGCCTTTATCCAGAAGAAATGGAAAGCTAATTGAGAAATTTAAGTGGGAAGAGAGAGGGAGGAGGAGGAGCGATAGGAGGAGGAGGAGAGGGAGGGAGGGTAAGGGAGGGGAGACTGAGAGGTCCACTGATACATGCGTTATGTAGTTTCTGAATGAATTGTGGGAAATGATCAATTCTCGATGTGGAACGAACAATTGGGAGGTCACTTATTGCAGGTAAGAGGTGATGCTGTCTTTGATGAGAATGGTGATGATGGTGATATAGGGAAGAGGTCAGATTTTAGAGCTATTTATGGGATAAAATGAATAGAACTGGTGCCTGACTGAAACAATGTACTTGGAAAACCATCTGGAAATGCAGCCTTGGTTTGGAGATAATTCCTTGTAACTTTAATTACAAATCATTAATATTAATAAAACTTTTACTTTTCCATGCATGGCTATTCCAGAAAGTACTTTAATTAATTTAATTATATTCATATTAACCTTTTATAACCTATATGACTGTCCGCTGTTATGCTATAGAAATAGGTTTCAATCATCAAAATAATTTTTTAGTTTGGTTGTTTCTAAGTATACTCTTATCTATAAACTATCTCTAATTGCAACTCATTCTGTTGGCTGCTGCTAACTCTTCTACTTATGATCAGATGGCAAGATCTGAATCTTAATCAATGGAATTCTCTGGTTATTCCTTCCACTTCTAATAACCTAACATCTTGTGAGCCAATTAAATTTTTTTTTATATATGGAAAATCAGAACAGGCTTCCTCGAGGTTTCCAGATACACGCCCATCACTACATGTCAACCTCAGACACTTGTTCTGCTGTATCGCTACCCTGGTTCCAGGGACTCAGCGGGACAGAGATGAGAGGGATCTTGGGGACAGGCCCAGACCAGGATGGTTTGGCATTTGGTCCTCTGAAATTATCCTAAAGCATCTCATTCTGTTCCCAAGTAGGTATAAATAAGGAATAATATATAAATACAATTTTGTAATGTAATTCTCTAGGTTATGAATGAAACTTACAACAAATCATGAATAATGGGGGCATATGCCAATATTAAAAATAAAAGAATAGGATATATTCTAAATAGTGAAAAGCTATGCTGTTGGAAGATATTAGTGGGAAATCATATGTTATGGAAATAATTCATCAAACTCTACTATTAAGAGAAAACTTGATTTGAAGAGAATACCACGATGTCCTTCTCTAATGTAGAAAATGACTACAAAATTAATCGACCCAGGAAGAATGGGTGTGTAAAAATCCATCCAGTATGAAAATATACAGGTCTTTATTACTTTAAAAAATGACATAGATGCTAAATCTACAAGATAATAATTTACAATTATTTCCAGATCAGTTTACTAAATTTTAATTATATTATCTGTGATTTTACATCAAATGTAAATGGCTCCTAAAGTAGTCAAAAAAGCCTAGTCTTTAGAAACGTTTTCTACAGTAATCAGTTAATTCGTAGGCATGAAGATCTGTTTTAAATAGTGAACTTTAAAAATTTCATTTTACGCAAATTGAATCTGAGTATTCTTTTAAGGATGTCATACAAGTACAATTGTTTGAAATTACCCTTAAGTGACACTTATGATATGTCATAAGACTTTGAAAGAGTTCAGTTTTGAATGGAAGATAATAAAACTCACAGTTCTCCAGAGCTGTATGATTAGAAATGTGGCTCTTGTCAATCTGGTGTTCGGTTGCCACAGAAGAAAATTCAATATTTCCAACATTCAAGATTGCAGCGAGTATACTGTATATGCTTCCAAGTTGCTGAAACACATCACAGAGACATTAGCACCATTCTCCCCTTGAGTATAGCAAGGCAGTGACCATGGCCGGGGGCAGACTAGGGAAGAAAGCTTAAGCTCCGGCATAAGAAGGTCATCCCAGAGACCACGATGTCAGACTGAGAGATCCAACTAGGCTCAGCCTCATTCACTATCTTAATTTCGGAGGTGAGCACAGTGCCTGATACCCAGTAAGTGCTTCAATTTATTTTAGGAATGCAAGTATGAATAAAACATAGAAATGAGCTCTCCTCTATGGAAGTAGAAACATCTTGGTCATTAGGCCATAGATACATCTATCCATGTGAAATGTAACTTCAGAACTTAGTGTGGTTGTTACCATATGTACATTTTCCTTGAGGCCAATTAAAAGTGAGGCTGTACGTGTGGATAAATGAGAGTTAAGATATCCCCACAATTTATTTATCTAATCACCTACTGAAGGACATCTCAATTGCTTCCAAGTTGTGGCAATTATGAATAAAGCTGCTATAAATATCCATGTGCAGGTTTTTGTGTAGACGTAGTTTTCTATTTGGGTAGATACGAAGGGGTGTGGTTGCTCAATTGTATCTCAAGAGTTATGTTTGGTTTTGTAGGAAACTGCCAAGCTGTCTTCCAAAGTGGCCGTAGCATTTGCGTTCCCACCTGCAGTGAACGAGAGTTCCTGTTGCTACACAGCCTGTCCCCTCTTGATGCTATCAGGGTCTTGGATTTGGGCCCTTCTAATAATAGATGTGTAATGATATCTCTTTGTTGTTATACTTTTTTATGTACAAAATAACATCTCTGTTGACAACCCCGAGAATGTGGCTCTGTGGCTGGTTGGTTCCTAGATCCCATTTCGTATCGAGCCCATTGACTTCCTTCCACATAGCCGGCGATGATTACAGGTTAGTGTGAGGAATGAGTAAGTGTGCTTTTCATGGTACACTATGAAAACCATGATGGGGAGAAAGTCAGGGAAAACAGATTAATACATCATCCTGTGGCTCTTTATAAATATTAGGATGTATCTGATTTATAAAACATAGTATTCCAATAATTTTTTTACAACTGATTTTGTTTAGGATGTGGAACATAAAGCTATACCACAAAGCACCTCACTC